GGTGCCCTGTGTGTGGGGGGGAGGAGCTTGGGGTGCCCTCTTTGTAAGGGTTGGGTCGGGGTTTGGGGTGCTCGCTGCATACAGACAGAGAGGAAGGTGGTGTAAGGGATGGGATATGGGGATATCAGAGCAGCCTGGTGTCAGATGGGGCGAAGAGGGGCACGGGTGGCATGGGGTAAGGAGGATATGTCAAAGGATGGAAGAAGTGAGGACCAGGCTACTGAAGTGTGTGGGTGGGTTGTAGGGATGTAAAATCTGGTGTAATTTGGTTAAACACAGTCTCCTCCCTTCTCCCAGTGTTACAAAGAGAACACTGTGTTCCCCCCTTCACCTCTCTTCATCCCTCCACCACCTCTTTACAGAAAGGGCACCCCATACCTACTCCCTGCTCCATCCTGATGCTGTAAACAGGGCATCCCATGCCCCTCCCAACCCATTACACACAGGGCACCCCACGTTAAGGGTGATGCTTACCAGTTAACCTTTCCCATCCCTAGTAGGTTTCATAGGTATCTATGTTAGGAGTCAGGTAGTGGAAGGATGTTGGAGGGTAATAGCACTCCAGTGAGAGGTGTCAGTATCTCACTAATGCCAGAGTTTTGAAAAATGGCTCAGGGAAGCTCTGTAAAGTTACCCCAAACTAAAGCAAACAGATGTAAAATAACAAGACCATTCTAAAATAATGTGTTGCAAAGAAAACTGCTTATTTATTATGACTTTTCAGGGTTACATGCATTGGTTGTAATCTGTTGGATCCTTGCTGAAGATGTTTGAATTAGCTTTCTGGAAATAACCAGAAATTCAAGAGAGTAAATGGACAGGGCTTCTGCTGTAGTCAAAATTACATGTTTAGCCGCTTATGAAACTCTTTAAAAAAATTCAGGCTATTTTAGTCAATTTATAATAAATACAAGTAAGAGGAGATAACGGGAGAGATGTATGTGGAAGTAAATACATTGACTTTTGGGATGCTGTCTAGAGTACTAAGTGACCTCCGAATAGTAAGGTGAGAATGATTATTTTATTTTAAATCAAAAGTCTTTCCAATATGGGAGCATTCAGAATTTGTAAATACCTGTCATTTAGAAATGTAAAAATAACCTGTCAAATTACCTTCTCTGCTCTGGTTTTTATCAGGTTGTCTACAAAGTTTATCTTAAAGAAAATCATGTTCTCAAGAGAAATGTTGATCAAAAACTGAGAATTAAGACTATATATGACAAAAGTGTTGAGGAGTAAGTAGATCTGATGTTTTTCTACAGTTTTGAAATGTAAAAATATATTATATTAAAATATTTCATTTTTTTTCTAGTTTGCTTCCTGAGAAACGACACCTTATAAAAGTATGTTACACTTGTTTTCCCTTTCTCTTTGTTTGTATATATGGCATTTTGCTATCCCAGAAGCTATTCCACAATGTACTGTACATGAGTTGTCTGTTATTTTTTGTTCAAAAAATGTCTGGTGGCCAATAGCATTTTGTGTATAGTTTGTAAAACACTTTGGGATCTTTCAGCATAACCTGTATGTTACTGCGACGAGGAGTCCTGTGGCACTTTCTCAGAATAATTTATACAACTTTCTTCCCTTTTAGTTAGGGGCTGGAGTAAGGAAAGCAGCATGCTCAATGTAGGTTATCAAAATCTAGACTCTCTTATTTTGAATAGCATCTGACGAAGTGGGTCTTTGCCCACGAAAGCTTATGCTCCTACACTTCAGTTAGTCTATAAGGTGCCACAGGACTCCTCGTCGCTTTTGCAGATTCAGACTAACACGGCTACCCCTCTGATACTTGACTGTATGTTACTGTCAATGTTATTGCAGAGACTGCCATGCCCTATTATGCTTAGCTGCATTTAAGTCAGCAAGTCTTCATGTCAGGCTATACATTCCACTGCTGTACATTCATGTTTAACAAATGCCCTATAATTTGAGAGTTAGTGCTCCTAGCATGCATCTGTAATTGTATTGCAACAAGGAAACCACTGTTTGTATTTTTGTTTTCATTAAATTTAGAACAAACTTTTTCCACAAGCTATTTCTTATTTGGAGAAGACTTTTCAAGTTCGCAAACCAACAGGTACTATTTCATTAAGCAGGTGAGTGAAAATTTGTTCGATATATAAATATTTAAAATAGTTTTGAGTGGACTTTAATATTAATGTGGAACAATGTTTTATACTATAGTGGAAAAGTAATAACTTCTTGCAAGTAATATTTTTCATACAGTATAACCGTGGAAGGCTTTAGTAATAGTATTGTAATTTTAATAGATAGCAGGTTTAAAACAAAGGGAAGTATTTCTTTATGCAGTGTACCATCAACCTGTGGAACTCTTTGCCAGAGGATGTTGTGAAGGCTGGGACTTTAACTGGGTTCAAGATAGAGCTATAAAAATTCATGGAAGATAGGTCCACCAATGGCTATTAGCCAGGATGGGTAGGAATAGTGTCCCTAACCTCTGTTTGCCAGAAGCTGAGAATGGGTGATGGGTAGGATCACTTGATTACCTGTTCTGTTAATTCCCTCTGGAGGCACCTAGCATTGGCCACTGTCAGAAGTTAGGATACTGTGCTAGATGGACCTTTGATCTAACTCAGTATGGCCGTTCGTATGTAGCATCTATTTATTTCCATATCTTTAGCTGCTATGAATTATTTTATAGCTTGCCTTTTCAGTTTTAAAATAATTCTTGACTTTAATTAAAGGCAATGTGCAACAAACCAGTATTTAAAGAAGAAAGGCGACCCTCATAGATATTGCCGAGGAACCTGTGCAGAACACACAAGATGTGGCCCAGTTATAGTTCCTGAGGAACACTTACAGGTAGTTCAAACCAAGTGACTTCTACTTAGCATTCAAAGTTTTATGGTTTGTGAAGATTACCAGTGAAGTTAATATTAATATGTGTGAGCTTTTTATATGTAGCTTGTACTTGTCGGAGGTGATCAGGCTTGAGCATTAAGACACAATAGAATCAGAGACAATAGCAGAATTTCTCTGATTATATGATAGGGCCAAAAGTCCAGTGAATTCAGCCTTACAAAAATAGCTGCAATTGCATTACAATGCATTGGCATGGAGTGTGTATCTATATTATATGATAGAATTTATACAACTACTAATGAAAATAGGTTCAGAAAAGACATTGTTGAATATTAAGCCCCAGCTATTGCCAGAGTGCTAAAGCCATTTCATAATATTTATTCAGTGTATCCAACTTTCTAGAATGAATTTACAATCATCGGATCCAGTTTTGAAGTCCTCTACCACCCAGATATTCCACTGAAAACATATTGACACCGTATATTTTCGTAGGCATTTTGATTCATACTAAAATACATTATTAGTACTTCTCTGATTTGTTCTGATCATTGTAGCTTTACACTCTTAATACCATTTTTCAAATAAACCGTGTAACACTTTGACTCCGTTTATTTTAAAATAATTAAATTTCATTATAATGAATCATAATGAATTTAAATAATGT